TGCTATACCTAGCAGCCGCTACAATAATTTCATTTCGACCTTTTGATTATTCGAGAAAAATACATTTTGCCTTTACGCTTGAATGAAGTAATCATCCAGAGTTGATCTACTGTAATCGTGTTCCGATGCTTTGAGGTTTTTAACTTACCAATTCAATTTCGTTTCTCTTTCAATTCTATTTTATGAAATTGCATTCTTAATCTGTTATTTCATGGAATGTCTTGATTAAATTCGTATGATTGTATTCCTAATTTTTAATCGTTGTTTACGTCGCTTAGTCGTTAAATCGCGTTTTATATCGTGTTTGCTTAATTCACGATTGTATTAATCCGTTTGCTTAATTCGGAATGGGAATTCAATCTATTTTATATTTATTGCGCTTGTCAATTGGTATTGAAATCGAATAGAGGTCGAAGCTGCTTAGGGAATTGGTAAGTTAAAAACCAATGATTAGCAGGAACCTAAAAATAGTAGATCGACTTATTTTTATAATCACTTATTTGTTCAACTCTTTAAAAATTGATCCTGAATTAAATTCCCCATAATCACTTATGTTGGTTATTAATAATACAAGAATCCTCGCGATATGATACTCGAGTCACTGTCGCTAAACTACATTTTTTAAAGTAACTCGTTTTTGATCCGTCCGCGACAGCGGATCAACTATGCATTGGGACCATGGAAATTTCATATAACTTAATGTTTGGTTTGGAACCAAACTATAACTTGATAACTTGGGAACTTTTCCATCTCATCACCTATGAGTTTTCTCTATAAATAGAGAGATCATTTGCACTTCAAACACACCAATTCAATACTTAGAAACACCTCCAAACTCTCTCAAGTTCAGAATTTGTTCAAAACTCCATTTTTGAACCTTGAAAAACCATACCTTCTAAATTCATCACTCTAGCCATATCTTTGCAAGAAAACCATCCAAACGCCTCATAATATTCATTTGGAACTTGTCCAGACTCTTGTTACACTTATGTAACATCATCATTGCCATCCTCCAACTCAAAAAACTGTGGCTTGCAACTTGAGGTGGTTAGAGCTTTTCAGCAAATTTCAAAGCAAAGTAAGGGTTGAAATAGTTTTAGTGTGGTCCCAGTAATCTCATAGGATCATCAACTTGCACCTGGAAGTCGTAGAAGGGGAGTTGGACTTTTTCCAATTGGTAAGAAAACTTGAACTGTGAAATCCTCATACATGCATCATTTGTGTTTGATTTCTTAATGAAAAATATATATATGATGTCTCTAAAGCTAACCATGTGTTTATCTTTCATTTATATTTCTTGTGTGATGAGAATTATAAAACTGATCAGTTAGGGTTTCATTTTGGTACTGATAAAAATTCGTGTTCATCTTTGAGTCTTAGCTTAAATAAATTCCATCATTGAATTCCTTGTCCAAAACCGAGCAACTTTGATATTTGAAGTTTTTAAAATGGTTGAGAAATGAAGTTTTTACATGTTTAAAAATGGAGGTTGTTTTTGTTGTTGGCTCGGGGAAGAAGAAGAAGAAGAAGGGTGACGCCATTGTTCTATTTTTAAAACTGAGTTTATTATATATTTAATGCATGTTATTTTATAAACGGATGAAACAGCCACTCCAGTGGGAAGAATGCACGTGCTAAGGCTTTGGTGACACTAAGGGCTAGGTTTGGACCAATGTGAATCTCCTTTTGTAATTTTCTCATATTTTTTCTGCTTTGTGATTTCTGGACTTTATTTCAAATATTTTCAACTAAACACACCTTTTGTACAAAGCAAGGCGCGTGGTACAGTGGTTAAGTTTTTAACCAATGACTTGGAGGGCGCAAGTTGAACCCTTGGCAGCTCATTTTTAATTTTTATCACTAATTTTCCTTTGCTTTTTATTAAACTTTACTAATTATTTTCACCAATCAAAACAACTCATTTTGAGTTGATTTTTTGCACACTCCTTATTTATCTGCCCTATTTTATAAATATGTGAAAAATCCCAAAAAATATTATTTATTTCATCTCTTTTTATTTAATTCAAAACAAATCCCTTTTAGTAGTTTTAAAAGACTTTTCTTGGGTCCTCTTGTTGATTTCTTGAATAAATCCATGTTAAATAATCATACCATGTCTCTTTTAAATGATCATGATAACATGACCCATGCGCACTTTTTCACCATGAAAAAAATTGATTTTAATTAGGTTTAGGACATGGCTTTTCTTTTAAAAAATGTTTAAATTTTAACTTGTTCAAAACCCTAATCCATGATCTAAAAACTTCACATGTTTTGATCCCCTTGATTGTTCATCCATGCTTTCTTAAGTTTACTTTTCTTAAAGGATATATTTCCTTCATAAACTCCCATTAATCCAAAGTGATACCATGCTTATTTTACTTGTTTGTTTATTCTATCTTTTTTCACAATTTTTACTTTGATAAGCATGTTAACCTTCTCCGTTGTGTTTAACACTTGTGATGTGTGTTTTTGCTATCATGTTAATGATTAACATTTTGATATGACTTGTACCCTCAAATCCAAGGAAAATGATAATATTGTTGTCTTCATAGTCATGTGGATATGCATTGTCTTAAGTTTACCCTTGAGTGTTAACATTTGTATATTACCCTTGTAACTGTTAATGTTTACTCCATATACAAAACCCTTGTGAAAGATCACCCTATGTATTCCCATGTACTCTAAAAAATCTCTTAACTCTAAAAAATCATTTTTCAAATTTTCACCACTTTCATATAAAAACCTTGACTTCGTGTCATTGCATTTTCAAACTTTCTTTTTTAATCAAATTCTTTAATATACTTAAGCTTATCAAAACAATTTAAAAAGACTAAAAGTGATTTAATCTCACTCCAATATTTTTGCCACTTGACTTTTCAATTTAAAACTTTTCTCAAAGAGATTAGATATAAATCATCTTCATAGTTGAGATATGATTCTCCTATTTCCATAGTAATTGTTGAAGTAAATGTGATTCTTTCTATATGAAGATGTCAATTGACAACTTGTTGATCTTTATATCAAAGTTAATAGCTCTTCATTCATGATGATGCAAGATCCATCTTCTCATACTTGTGGTGGTATTAGTTGAGCTTTCTCCCTAAAAGATGATGACATGTCTCTTCTCCTAAAATCAATCACAACAAACCCATTTTGTTATTTTTTACCAGGAACTACCAGGTTTTGATCCTTAATTGATATGTAGGTATAAGACTATGTCTTTACAAAAAAAATAAAATAAAAATATTTTCTTTTCTCATCTCCACAATCATTTAACAGACAAACAATTTTAAACCAAAAAATATATTTTTATAAGTGGTTCCTATAGAGTACTATAGATATATAGGGTTTTAGTACATTCCCTTTGTATAACCAACCCTCGTGCCTTGGATCTCTTCCTTATGCTTTACTTTTATTCTTTACTTCTTGCAATGCATATTAAATAATAGGGTTTCGATCTTTTCCTTGAAAATAATAAAGTTCAGTGGTGACTTCTTAAAGTATTTGTCAGTCAAGTTCTTCAATAGCTTGGTCTCCTTGATTTTTCACCATGACAACATGGATGATGAACTTGGTCGAAGAGATAATAAGTAAAGATCATGGAGTAATTACCATGAAGATCGACAACATGCCAGCTATCAATCTGGCTAAGAATCCGATAGCATATGGTCTAAGCAAGCACATCGAAATGAGGTTCTATTATCTTCGAGAGCAGGTAGCAGAGGGGAAGATGAAGATGGAATACTGATGAACTGAGAATCTGATTACAGACATCATGAAGAAGGGTGTGCATGTCGAAGTGTTCATAAGATTAAGACACAAGGTGGTATGTTGAAAGTATAATTCCTTGTGTCGAAGCAGATCGTTACTCGACACAAGGTGTGTCGAAAAGCTTAGTTTGTCGAGTTATATGTAGTTGTTGAAGTGTTCTAAGTAGATTGATACACACATATTCGATTTAGATCCAAAATAGATATTTTGGACTTTTGTGTTTTGGGCTTTGATTTAGGGAGAAAGCTAACCTAAACCTATTTATAGTGGAAGTAGCCCCTATTATTGTATATAACTTGTATTCACAGAATTTGTAGTTGTCATTGAATAAAGATTTTCCACAGTTTGTGGACAGAGAGAAACTCAGCATAAACCCTAATCTCTTTTCTTCTTTAATTTTCTTTTCTTTTCATTGTTATTGTGTGGTGATAACAATCTTGTTCATCAAGATTTATAGAAATTCATCATAGTTTTTGGTGGATTTCCAACAGTTCTTATACATGCACAAACGGTTCGAATAAAGCCAATGAATACCTCTAACCTAATTTTTTTTATGCGTCCACCAAAACGAGTTCATCGTTTCTTCATTTTCGTCACTCAAGGAAGATGGTAACAAGAAAATACTCATAACATGAGTTGATAAGTGTCTTTTCCCACTTAATAAATAACTGACTTGATAAGCGTTTCTCTTCTCACTTAAGAAAGAAAATTACTATTCTATGAGTTGATTTTTTTCAGACTCATTTTTTTATAAACTTGAAAGCATATTTTCTACTTCTGTCAATTATGGATGCTAGTCCGAGATATTTGGATGCTCCTAAAATTTGTTGAACTTTTACAATATTAGCCACCCTGTTCTTGGATTTATGAGTGACAATTCTACTAAAAAAATAGATTTTTGAACATTAATGGCTTGTTTAGAGTCTTCTTCATAAGTGACAAAGAATATTTTTCAACATAGTTGTTTCGTTCACATCAGCTCTAAAGAATAAGAAGGATTCATCAGCAAATTGAAGATGAGATGAGATATGATTGAAGCATTCTAACAAAATATTGATGTCGTGGATATCCCCCTAACTTCAGTTTGTTTGATAAGTGCTAAGAGACCTTCAGAACAAAAAATGAATTGTTTGATAAGTACTAGAAACAATTCAACTAAGTATACAACTTTAAACGTTATCTATAATTACAAATGATCCAAGTTTCTATATATAAAAAATGAATGACTAGCTATAGAACAAAATAATGAATATTGTTAAACTGCAATATAGAAGCAGTGTAAACCATCCTCTGGTTGTCTGGTTAACACTATCATCATCGATCGTAGAAAACGAGAACAGGCGTGCTGAAATTATCCTCAGAACTGCAAGGCACACGAAAGCAAGACTCGTTGCTAACACCACAAGCTCTTTGGCTTCAAGATTTTCTTGATCCCTTGCAACCTTTTGAACATCTAGTCTGATACTTGGCGAACGAATGACATGTCAGAACTCGGGCATTAAACAAGAGAAACCAAACATAAAACAAACATTAACAGTAACCTTAACATTTCATATAGCTTGTAATCCAAGTAATCAAACAAAATGATAGTCCTAACCTTAACATGTTATTTTCTCTAGCTAAATCATTAAGTTGAGATGATACATCATCTTTCCATGACTTAACTTCTGATATTCCTTTTTCCTGAAAACGAAAAACAAACAAATAACTATGACTTTGTAGAAGAATTTGAGACACATACAAAAAGAAGAACAAAAACTTTATAATACCATATTTGTGTTCCACTGCTGGTGATCATTGATTTCTGTCTTGCTTTGTTCCAAGCTTTCTGATAATCTAAACATCACTTTCTCAAGATTTGGTATTGTAATCCCTTGTCTCCTATTCAATTCTTTGATATAGTCCTCTAATGCCGATAAGTTTACCTCCACAGACTTCACTTTCTGCATCAAAATCTTAAGAACAGTGTCACCAGTTATCCTACCATTTAATTGTTGTCTAAGCTCCTTCACGGGATCAGGAACCAAGTTCACAATCACAGGATTTTTCGTCACTTCCGCGTCAACCTTTTGCGTGTCATCATTAACACTCGATATCTCAGCGGCCACAGTATCGTTCTTAATTTCAAGTTCGTTACCTTTTCTGTCAATTTGATCAGCTTCTGATTTCAAAGACGGCGTTATAATGTCACTGATATTTTGAGTTGGTAACTTGTGAGGAATGGATTCAACAGAAGTAACTATTAGATCCTTAAGCATTCGCTCTATAGCGTTGATCCCGTAAATTTCTACAACACTAAGTGTGCAATAAAATTCAGATCCATAATGACTAAGCAAGCTCAACTTCAAATACCTCACCCAATTCGGCTTAGGTAGCTTAAAAACCTGTGCCTGCTTAACATTGGTAGCAACAAAGCTCCCTAGCTCGCTCCACGATTCGGTCGGATAATTCAAACTACCAGCCAAATCAAATTCCTTGAAATTCGAAGAATAATGCTCAAAGTTTGCAATTTTGACAGAATCAACTAAAGTCTCTTCAGAAAGTTCGATAACAACAAACTTTCCAGCAACAGAACAAGGATTCCTCAAATACTTATCATGATCCTTTCCTAATATATTTATAGCACCTTTAGCTTCCTTATTATATGCAACTACCTTTGCACCTTTGGACTCGGACGCGTAATTGTACACAGAACCATCCGATTCTAGACGGTGTGTTATGTTAACAAGCGAATCATTGCTCTTTTCTTGCTTTTCTAATGCTGATATGTTTTGGAATTCATGCGATGATTGAAGTTTCTTTTCCTCTGGTTGAGATTGTAACTTGCATACTAATCTACTATTATTACCTAAAACTCTCCAAAATACTTGTTCTAAACTAATTGTTTCCGCAACCGAGTACATTGGTTTTACTAGTTTCTGACTAATGCTGGTTGATTCATTCAACTCTAACATATCTGCAACATTCATGAAAACATGTTGAGATCAATGATATTATTAAGTTATATTTGGCAACTAGCATCTATCCTTATAATTAGACAAATCTGATTCTCTTTTGATATTCTAGTTATTTACAGCTGTATTGTAATTAAGCTCATTCATATAGCAGTAATTAGTTATAATATCATAGGAATAATTATAGGAGAAAATGTGAGTGTCATGTATATATATAAAGAGCAGTACATTGAGAAATAAAATATACAGAATCAATTCTTTACGGTATCAGAGCCAGGCAATCCTAAAAATAAAACTGGCAGGTGCTATGGCTGGAAAAGAAAATGAAACAGGATCTTCTCTAACAGGAGAAGATCAAAAGAAAAAACCATCACCATATGACCTCCATTCCAATGACAATCCTGGAAGTGTCATTACGCAGGTGCAGCTGCGGGGGTGAAAACTACGACGAATGGGCTAGAACCATCAAGATATCTTTGAGAGCAAGAAGGAAATGAGGTTTCATTGATGGAACCATAAAGAAACCAGAAGAAGGATCCTCTATAATGGAGGATTGGTGGACCGTTTAAGCCATGCTGGTCTCATGGATCTTGAATACAGTAGAACCTACGTTGCGAACAACCATATCTTATTTGGAAACCGCCAAGGAACTTTGGGACGATATAAATTAGAGATTTTGAGCTGTTAATGGTACACGCATTCATCAATTGAAATCAGATCTTGTCCATTGTAAACAAGGAGGTTCGTCCATGGTTGCTTACTATGGAAAGCTGAAAGCTCTATGGGATGATTTGGCAAATTATGAGTCAGTGTTGGCCTGCACTTGTAAAGGTTGCACATGTGGTATTCAGGAAAAAGTTGAAAAACGCAAAGAAGAGGAAAGAAGTCACACATTTTTGATGGGCCTAGATGATGAACTGTATGGAACAGTTCGTTCAAATCTGCTAGCTACAGATCCTATGCCATCTTTAAATAAGATGTACTCTATCCTAGTACAAGAAGAAAGAATGAGGAACATTACACGAAGTAACAATGAAAGAACAGAAGTTATGGCCTTGACTGTTCGAGAAAACGCAAGGATGAAAGGACGAGAGATGAAAAACAAGTCCGTTTGTGCGCACTGCAACAAAGCTGGTCATGATGAGGCAGGTTGTTTCTTGCTGATTGGATACCCAGAATGGTGGGGTTAACGTCCCAAAAATGATGACAAAGCAGGAGGACGAGGAAGAGGCCAAATTAGCGCTGGAGGTACCAGATCAAATAGTGGACTAGCACAAAAAGGTCCAGTACGTGCTCATGCAATTCAGAACTTGGGATCCAACGTTGGTGGAGATTCAGAAACTTCCAACATGACAGGATTAAACAAGGAGCAGTGGCAAACTTTGGTTGAAATTCTCAACAGCTCGAAGGTGACTCAAAATGAAAGCATGACTGGTAAGACTAAATTCAATTCATGGATCCTCGGTAGTGGGGCGTCTAATCATATGACCGGAAACTTACAATTCCTGTGTGATGTAAGAGAAGTAATTGGATGTCCTGTTGGTCTACCTAATGGCCAAACTGTCACATCCACTAAGGTAGGAACAATAAAGCTCATTGATGGTCTAAGACTTGAAAACGTGCTTTATGTTCTTGAATTGAATTGCAACTTAATCTCTACTTCACAACTGTCAGATGAATTCAATTGTAACATCCAGTTCACTGCTAATTTGTGTGCTATATAGGACCGCACTTCGAAGATGCTGATTGGTGCGGGTGAACGAAGGGATGGACTCTACTTCTTCCAGGAAGTTCCAAAAGTGAAAGCTTGTAGAGTTGAAGGAATAAATCAACTTGAAGTATGGCACAAGCGTTTGGGACATCCATCTTGGAAAACTACTCAGTTAGTCTCTAATTATAATGGGAGTAGAATTAGTGAGTTACAGAATAAAGTTTGTGACACATGCCAAAGAGCTAAGAAAACTAGAGAAATATTTCCCTTAAGTAATCATCAAGCTTCTAATACATTTGATTGTGATTTATGGGGAGCATATAGAACCCCTTCTTCTTGTGGCGCTTCGTATTTCCTTACTATTGTAGATGATTGCTCACGTGCAGTGTGGATTTCTTTGTTAATTGATAAGAAACAAGTGTCAAAAACCTTGACCAATTTTTTTGCTATGGTTGAAAGACAATATAACAAAAGGGTTAAAACTGTGCGAAGTGATAATGGAACAAAATTTATTTGCATGAAAAAATATTTTCTTGAACATGGGATAGTTTTTCAAACCTCTTGTACATGAACACCTCAGCAAAATGGCAGAGTCGAAAGAAAACATCTCCATATCCTCAATGTGGCACGAGCTCTCCGGTTTCAAGGAAGTTTGCCCATTGACTTTTGGGGTGAGTGTGTCTTGACGGCAGGATACTTAATTAACCACACTCCAAGGTCTGTTTTAAAAGGAAAGACTCCATATGAAGTGTTGCATGGGCAACAACCCTCTTATGCCCATTTGCGTGTGTTTGGGTCCTTGTGTTTTGCGCGCAACCAAAATACGAACGGAGACAAATTCGCCAGTCGCAGTCGTCGGTGTGCCTTCATAGGATATCCTTATGGACAAAAGGGATGGAGAGTTTATGACACTGAGACTCATGAATTCTTTGTATCACGAGATGTTACTTTCTTTGAAAATAAATTTCCGTTCCAACACACTGAAGTTGCGCCAATCACCATTACAGAAGATGTTGACGAGGAGAATCAAATTGATGATAATGAGTTCACACAAGCTGAGACGCCAATAGAGGTGATTCTTGTTGATAGGGAGGGTGATCACACTGCAGATGTTATTGTGGAAAATAATACTGCAGCTCCAAACCCTTCTAATGTGCAGCCCGCTAGCTCTCATGATGAGTCTGAAGCATTGGGGCGTGGTTGTCGTGTCAAATTTCCATCCACTCGACTGCAAGGATTTGTCACAAACACAATTCAGAAGTTGGGTCATTCCACTCGTTCACCAGCTGAATCGCATCCTTCAGGTGCACCCTACCCTATAACAAACTATGTAAGTTGTGAAAAATTTTCCTTCCAATATAGACATTTTCTTGCAGCAATTACTGCAGAAAAAGAACCAATATATTTTCATGAGGCAATAAAAGATACTCGTTGGAGAGAGACAATGCAGACTGAGATTCAAGCTCTTGAAAAGAATGATACATGGAGTATGCAACGTTTACCCCCCGGGAAGAAAGCTCTTGGATGCAAATGGGTGTACCGCATAAAGTATAACTCAGACGGGACAGTTGAACGTTTTAAAGCCCGATTGGTTGTACTCGGCAATCATCAATTGGAAGGAATTAATTACACTGAAACATTTGCACCGGTGGTTAAAATGGTCACCGTGCGCACTGTCTTAGCAGTAGCATCAGCGAAAAATTGGGAAATTCACCAGATGGATGTGCGCAACGCGTTTCTACATGGCGATCTGCATGAAGAAGTTTTCATGAAAATGCCTCCTGGTTTTTATGTTTCACAACCGGACATGGTTTGCAAGCTACGCAAATCACTTTACGGGTTAAAACAAGCTTCGCGTTGCTGGTTTGCCAAGCTCTCTGCTGCCCTCAAATCTTATGGTTTTCAACAATCATACCTTGATTATTCTATGTTTGCTCTGCACCAAGAAGACAGCCAACTTGTAGTTCTCGTCGATGATTTAATAATTGCAGGAAATAACCCTTCTGCAATTAAGCACTTTAAGCTCTACCTCAACACATGTTTTCATATGAAAGACCTTGGTGTTTTGAAGTACTTTCTGGGTATCGAAGTTTCCAGAAATTCTACTAGAATTCTACTTTGTCAGCGTAAATACGCGCTTGATATTATATCCGAATCTGGACTCCTCGGTGCTAAACCCGCTGCCACTCCATTAGAGCAAAACCATCGCTTGTCACTGGCTGACGGACAACTGCTTACCAACCCCGAGCAATATCGGCGCTTGGTTGGGAGACTGATTTTTTTGTGTTTCACTCGGCCGGAACTGTCGTACAGTGTACACACTTTGTCTCAATTCATGAACCAGCCCCGAATTGAACATTGGGAAGCTGCACTACGAGTAGTTCGATTTTTAAAAGGCAATCCTGGACAAGGGATATTTTTCGGTAGTAAAAGTGACTTAAAACTTCATGGTTGGTGTGATTCAGATTGGACCAGCTGTCCTAGAACTAGACGATCAGTCACCGGCTGGATAGTGCAGCTCGGTGACTCTCCTATTTCCTGGAAAACAAAGAAGCAACACACTGTTTCTCGGTCCTCTGTTGAGGCTGAATATCGGTCTATGGCAACCACCACATGCGAGTTAAAATGGTTAAAAGGAATCCTTTCCAACCTGGGGATTGTTCATGATAAACCAATGACCATTCACTGCGATAGTCAAGCAGCTATCCATATTGCCAAAAATCCGGTGTTTCATGAACGCACAAAGTACAATGAAGTTGATTGTCATTTTGTCCGGAATGAAGTTCTCAAAAATAATATCCAGCCAATCTATGTATCTACTACCACTCAACTCGCAGATATTTTCACAAAAGCTTTGAAAAAGCCGCAGTTTGAATTTCTTCTTGGCAAGTTGGGCATTCGAGATCTATTTGCTCCCACTTGAGGGAGGGTATTAAGTTATATTTGGCAACTAGCATCTATCCTTATAATTAGACAAATCTGATTCTGTTTTGATATTCTAGTTATTTACAGCTGTATTGTAATTAAGCTCATTCATATAGCAGTAATTAGTTATAATATCATAGGAATAATTATAGGAGAAAATGTGAGTGTCATGTATGTATATAAAGAGCAGTACATTGAGAAATAAAATATACAGAACCAATTCTTTATATATATATATATATATATATATATATATATATATATATATATATATATATATATATATATATATATATATATATATATATATATATATATATATATATATATATATATATATATATATATATATATATATATATATATATATATATATATATATATATATACTTTCGGCTTTAGCCTTAAGGATTCTGATAATATAAAGTTCGAACGCAAGAGATATCTAAAATTGATAAAAAATTGTTTAGGCCAAAATTCGAACTCAGAATCATTTCAATAAAAACTAAATGGCATTATGAATTTGAATAATGAATTGAAAGAGAAAATTGAAAAAACAAACCTCCTCCTTTAGAAGAACCATGAACAAGGTGAAGCCTAGAATGGAAGATGGAAACGAGGCACCAAATGGAAAATAGGAAGGAGAAAGAGAGGCCAAAAATTTTACTAACATAATCTCCTTGAAATTTGTATTTGCATTTGGTATTTGATCTATGTTGAGGTTGATTCTTCATGTTTCATTCATTGAGATTGAATTTCTAAGTGTTAACAACACGTCATTGATCATTATAACAATAACAAAGAAAATCTGAAGAAAACAAATGAAAATGCAATTTGTGTGAGTGATTTGTGAAGAGAAATTTGGTGTTTGGTTAGGCCCAAAAATAGGAAGGAATTGGAATTATGTTATGAGTTTTTTCCTTATTAAAAATAAAGATAATTTCATGTGGTAATAGTTTTGATGGTGCTTGGAAAATGGAAAGTTTAAAAAACAATGTGTAGTATTTTTCTAAATGAGTAAATTTAGATTACTATTTTTGGTGTTACCTTATTGCAAATTTTGGAACTGATAAGTTCAGAGATATACAAAAGGAGAAATTAATGAATCTAAATTTTTTTTGTCATTTCAATTTTTATTTATTTAAAATATTGATTTTAAGAATATACATTACAAATTTCTTTTACACTAATGTCAAACAAAAATATATTATTTTATCACATTATATAGTTTTGTAATTATTTCGGACTAAGACATGTCTCCGTCCGTATTGGACCCGATTGCATGAGTCCTAATTAGTTTGGCAGATTTGAGAATGGACACGCATTATAAGGATTAACGGTCAAAATGAAAATTTTGAAGAATCTATTGACAATGATTCAAGGAGATAAATTGAAAGTGTGTCTATAATTGTTTGGTATTTTCAGTTAAGATTGAAAGTGTGTCTATAATTGTTTGGTATTCTTAGATCAGATTGAAAGTGTGTATATAAAAGAAAATCTAAGAGTCAATTTGAAACAAGAACATCATTTAAGATGAAACAATTGATGAAAGTAAGAACTAGTAAATATTTTGTAGCAACATTTATAGTTTAATGAAATGATGAGTTATTTATTAAACATGCTCAATATGAAGAACCAACTTCAACTAACATTCAAATTGAACAAATATAATGATTTTCTATTCTGTCATTACAAATTGCAAAACAATGAAACATTTTACAAAGGAATAGTAATCTACAAAAACTGTGATGTTAGATTATCTGTCCCCACTAGTTTTGTTGTATATCTTCCCTTGTGTTGTTGTCTCATGTTATTAAAATTCTCACTTGATTGCCATGGTTTTTCACTTGCAAAAGCATCCTCTCCATCTGGCCCTTGTCCAACATATTGATGCATAACAAGCACTGAAGCTGTTGTTTCAAAATCCGAAGAAGCTAACAAATCTCCAATGCCTCCTAACTCCGGACATTCGCTCCAATCCGTCAAACCTTCGGTTAATGCCGAAGAACTTCCATGACCTCTCCCTACTATTAACAAATCATTCACATTGTTGATTTCTCTTATCGCCGCTATTGTTTGCTCCCCGTTACTCACAACTTTTTCTATGTATTTTACTGATTCATCATTTGCAGCAATCATTTTCATATCATTTATGCACTCTTCGTCTAGTTTGTTTGAGATTAAACTTTTGTAATCGTCTTGTTGATCATCGTCCGCGTTTAATGTCTGAGTTGCATCTTTTCTTTGAATGAAATGCATGACAGTGAGCTTAACTCTTGGATGCCTTGACATTTTCCATCCATAGGATAATGATTCCCTATCATCGGAACCACCGAAGAATAACACAGCCACCTGATGAGAAGATTGATTTGAAGTTAACCGGTTGGATCCGTTAAGGCCTCTGTCAACAAGTATTGCGACCGAACAAGGAGCATTGTGTAGTAAATTATGGTTCACCATTCTCAATGCTGGATTTGTTTCCCGCATGTCTCCATCAACTGTTTGTTGTTTATGAAAAGGAATAATAATGGTGGCTACACGTTTTTCCTCGGCCGAAATGCATATGTCTTCATGCATGGTAGAGTAAGCTGAAACAGCGGTTAAAGGTTGGACCGTGACGTAACTAACATGTTCCTCGAAGTTACGAAACGCGGTGGTGATATGTTCGGTCTGCGCTTGTGTTTTGTTGAGTGCTGGACCTCCTCCTGTTTGTCTAGTGGCATGGACGAAAAGCATGGCTGAAGCGCGACCGGTGAGTTCCACTAAATGGAGCACATAAGCACACATTGGAGACATTTTGGTTGGGTTTGTAGCCTCTAGAAGATTTATTATTGTGGGAACATTTCTAGGGGAATGAATGCACACCAGAACCCTTAACTCTGCATCAACTCTTGAACTTTGTATCGTCCTCTTTCGATAAGGTATGAGTATTTTCCTTGGCTTATAGATTAATGTCACAATAGGTGAAACTATTGCTGTCATTATAAGTGTTACAATAATCATAACCGAGAATACTTCCTCACCTAAGACCTGCAACAATATCACAATATATGTTAAATTCGTTCGTACGATTTTACATTGATGATAAATCGAATTTGTTTTGGTTTACCTTTTGTTCCCTCCCAATATTGAGCACAATCATTTCAATTAGACCTTTGGTGTTCATAAGAAAACCAAGAACAACGCCATCGCGAGTTGGTATGCCAAAAATGATTGAAAAAATAAGAGTACCGATGATCTTTCCAAAACAAGTGAGAGGAACAATTGCGAATACAAATGCCCAAAAACGACCTCTGCTCGCTAAGGTAGTGTTAGTCTTAAGTCCGCTAATAGCATAAAAAAGAGGTAGTAAAAGCCCCGAAACAAAGTCTTCTAGCTTTTCAACTATAGCAGCTGCAAGTGGACCATGTGGAATCACTAATCCATAAACAAAAGCTCCGAAAATCGAATGCGTTCCAATAACATCTGTAATGAAAGCCGAAACCATAACACCAACAAGCACAACGCATATTTGGAACTTGCTAAACGGTTTCCCTTCCGGAGTTTTCTTTATCAACAAAGCCACAGATGGCCTAACAACAAGAAAACAGAAAGCAACAAAGAAAATGTTTGACACTACAACCCAAATAGAAGCGAATGTTGATGAATTTGACTCTGATAAAGCAATAGCTAGAGCTAGTAAAACCCAAGCAAGCACATCATTCACAAGAGAAGTTGAAAGGGCAAGCTTTCCTAACTCCGTATTAATCAGTTTAAGCTCGGTAAGCATTCGAGCCAGCACAGGAAATGAAGTAACCGATAGAACAATACCAAGATACAGAATATAGCTAACTTCATTCACACTCTCATCTCTATTCAAAACAAATGATATTCCAACACCAAGAATCGAGGGAAGTATCATACCAGCAATGGCAATCGACACCGCCTTTTTCCCCGTGTGTTTTACAATAGATATATCCATCTCTAAACCAATTAGAAACAGAAAGTATATCAAACCTATATTCGCCAAAGTTTCTAAAACCATAGCACTTTTTAGAGGAAATACAATATTTGCAAAGGTTTCGTCTCTACCGAGCACCGATGGCCCCAAAAACAATCCACCCTGTAAGTATAACAGAAATAACTAACGTAACTAACTATCATACTAATTAAAACTCATATGCATGCATGCATGCATGCATGCAGTAATTAGAAAACAAGTTACCAAGATTTCAGCAACCACACGAGGAGGGTTAAATGGTTTGAGGATGAAAACAAAGAAACGTGTGGCAAGAACAACTAAGGTTAATTGCAAAATGAAGAGAGTGACAGAAAAATCTAAAGGGTTATCTCCTTGCCATACACCATTTGATGTTGTCATGCTTGGTGTATAACAAATCAATGTACTATCTGAAACTTTTGATGGTGTTAACATTGTTGTGTTCTCCATTTTGCACCAAATATATAAATAAAATAAAAAAATAATATCAAATTAAGAACACAAGATGATCAAAAAAATCTTAGGTTTTACCTTTTATTTTGATGATTACAAGGGGCATTAATTAATTGAATAATTAATTAATTTTATCCTTACCTTTCTTTCTAAAATATGTAATTTTATTAAGATGAAAAAGAAAGGTGAAGGAACCCCTTGCTTGTGTTCTTAATTCTGGAAAAACAAAAAAAAACTAGATCAAAGGGATAAAGGCAGGTTAGTTTTGATGCTTCCCTGCCTATAAATCCCTAATGAAGAAGACAATGTTTTTAAGGTTATGATGTTTTATTTGTAGTTTTCTATTTTTGGAAACTGACGCTAACACATGATTATTTTCTAAATGTAGGGTGTGAGTCACTTAGACAAATATTGATTTTCTTTCTATTATATTTTTTATATTTATGACTATGACAGTGTTCAAGTTTTTATTGATTGATTGTCAAAAATAAAGTTTATCTATATTGAAGAAAATATTATTGTTGCCTAAAAACAAAACAAAAAAAAATTGCACAAGCTGTTTAAATTTATTTTATTTAATTTACTTTTAAATAGTACGAAAATTGTACATATTAAAAAAAATAAACGAGTGTTTATCAATTTCACAATTCTACGAAGTTATATTTATTGTCAATCGAGTGTCAAACATTGTTATTATATATATATATATATATATATATATATATATATATATATATATATATATATATATATATATATATATATATATATATATATATATATATATTTGTGTCGTTCTAGAATTAGAAATATAGTGGAGATCAAAAGTGATGGTGGCTCTGAGTTTTTAGCATGGTGGAGGAGGGAGGACATGTAAGGTTAACACACTAACGTTCAAATCAGTCTATATGCGGAAAACAAGTGAATTAAAATTATGCTAGAAACTTGTCACCTGAATTTGACGTCTTCTCTTGCAAAGTGAATTGCGAAGAGTCGTTAGATGCATTTGTAGTTGAGATCTTTGTTATCGTCGGGAGGAGAGTTCTTGTGTGCTAAGAAGATTCTGGACGTAATACCATTCCATTCGAGTGGTCAGAATCAGACACTTAACACAATTGTAGGAGGACTCGTTGAGGGAAATATCCCCAGTCTCACCAAGAAAGAACAACCTGCCAGGTTTTGACCGTTTATAGTTTGCCCATTAAGCCTAAGACTGACGAACCAGATGCTTTATAGGCCATGATTACATTTTCAAAGGAGAATGTCATCGAGGTTCACCTCACAATGATGACCACATGGTTATCTCTGTTTGTTGCGATGATTAGGAGATCAAAGAGGTTCTGATTGATCAAGGAAGCTCTGCAAACATCCTCTACTGGGACACCTTCGAGAGACTTTGTCTGATCATGGAGGACTTAAAGCCCTTCCAGGGATCAATGGTCAGATTTTCAATTGAAGCGTTAAGAGCAAGAGGCTACGTAACACTGAAGACTATTTTCAGAGTATGAGAAAATGCCATAATGATCAAGGTAAGGTATCTAGTCATTGATGCATCCTCATCGTATAATATGATCATATGGCGACCGAATTATAACTAGTTAAGGACCATCCTATCCAACTTGTATCTATGTATGAAGTACCCACTCGCATAGGGGCGAGTAAGCGTTATCCATGGAATCGAGAAATCGTGAGAAGATGTCATATGGAAAGTTTAAGGTTAAAGAGGATAAGAATAACATACGTGAGTATTATGAGCACGAAGATATGGATAAAATCGTTGAAGGAGAATTCCATTGAGGAGGTCCACACCAATTCGGAGGAAGAGATCGCCAAATCTATGATGGTGGGAGGCGATTATACTTCTTTAGTTTAGTTTGTTCAATGACTATTTATATAGGTGAGTTATAACATCAACTAGGTTTTGTATGGATATTGATGTTTTTATGGGAGCACTTTTTTCTGACATTGTTGAACCAACACGTAATTTTTAATGAGGTTCTCCCTTTAATTATATGAATATTGAAATTGTTAGTTTAACTACAGGACCTTAAGAAGCTAAGGAGCAAGTTTAAGCACACCTCAAGGTTATCAATCATGTTAGATCCCTACATGGGAGTCTTTGTTGTTAGAACAAGATTTGGATCTATATTTAAATCTTTATGTTTTGATGATAATAATGCATATATTTTATGAAGAACAATTCCAGTTCTAATGGCTTCATTGAGTATGCAGTTATCAGAATTCTGGATAATCTTTATCAAGATATCATCAAAATTACTTTATCACTTAGAAGAAGAACCATTAAATTCGTTTCTAATGAAACATCAGTAGTTTTGTTGAATGTTAAATGTTCGATAAGAAAAGAATATCAATGAGTTTCTAAGAAGAGCTCAAGCTTCAAGATCAAAAATCAAAGAGCCAAGAAGTCAAGATTCAAAGATTATCTCATTATCAGAATCAAGATCAAAAGTGTTCTCAGGAAGGCGCCACTCTCAGATATCAGAAATCAGATCTTAAAATTGAAGATATCAAGATATTAAGATGCTTGGATATCAGAAATCAGAGCTTAAAATTGAAGATCTCAAGATATCAAAAACAAAGAAAGAATTTAAGATCATAAACCAAGAAGTAGCTGAATAAGTTGTTGCTTTTAGCTCAATCCAAAGATGAGAATTCAAGAGATAAAAAAGAAAGAACTCAACATCTAAATCATATGTACTGATATAAGCTTTTGCTTTAGAAATTAGACATCAGATATGCAGCTAAAAAAAGTTGATTATCAGAAATCAAGATCGAGACATAGTGGATCAGAAAAGCTTTCACTCACAAACAAAGAAGTTGTTCCTCAGATTAGTTGTTGCTTGTATATCTGAAGACAATGTTCAAATATCTGAAAGACTATGACTATACAACAAAGAAGTATCTTATGGATCGCTATCATTCTTCAATCAGAATCAATTTAGCAAGAAGAAAAGAATCAAAGCTCAAGAATTCAAAGACTTGAGAATCAAAAAGGTTGTTGCCACAATATCTGATTTCAAGATCCAAACATCAGAAAAATCTTTTGATATTGTAGCGGTAGAAATGTTTAAGACTAAGCCATTGGATTGACTAGACTTATACAGATCAAAATAAAATCGCCATTGCGCTTTATTGTTTCCAAAGGAATTGGAAAAGAGCGAGTAACCCAAAAAGTGGGGGAAAGATTCAAGTTAAGGGGGGTTGGTTATGTAAAGGGAAGGTATTAGCACCCTAAACATCTACGGTACTACACAGGAACCTCTTTTGTAAAATCTGTATATTTTGGCTATAAAATTTTGTATGAAAATGGATGGTGGAGGTGAGAAAAGAAATGTATTTTTTATGATTTTCACACCCGCCGCAGTTGCGAACCTTTAGTGTCTATGTACCACCTTTCGTGCAATAGGGGATCAGGGTACACGTAGTTCACCTTTGAAAACTTTAAAACACAAGTGTGTTGGTTAACTTTATGAGATAAGACATCATCGTCATTGTCCGTGTGGAAAATATACTTACTACCCACAATCATGAGAAAGAAGAATTTGCATCATCTCAAAGTGGAGGATATGGCCTGGATTTTAAAAATCAACAAAACCTCATTCAACACCCAAGTGGAAAATATCTCACTTCACTATATATTGTAGAAGTATAGTTGTTTGCATCACTACAAGGATTATCAAGAGTCTAGTCTTTTGAGAAAAGTTTTAAAATAAAAAAAAAGCCAAAGTGGCAAAATGGTTTGAAATGAGATTGATTGACTTTTAGTCTTCTCACAAAAAATGTCAAGGTATTATTAAGTTGATTGAAGTTTATTTATGAAAAGGTTTTGAAAATGCATGGACCTAAGTCCAAGTTTATTATGAAAGTGATTCAAGTTTAAAAGAAGCAAGAAGAGTTTTCAAAAGGAGAGAGAAGATTTTTGAAATCAAAGAAGATGGGAGGAGAAGAAGAGGCTATCCTAAAGCATAAGGTAAAAGTTAGGGATAAGAACCATCTAACCAACAAGAAGCCAATACTTGACATTATGAGCCAAGATAGAATTTCCATTCTTTGGATTGAAACCAAGCCAACAAAGATACTAAACCTCTTATGAGAACCAAACTTCAAGTGTATTAAGTCTTCACAAAAATTGGGCAGAGTAACGGCTGTATACGGGTGAATTCCAGATTACAAACAAAGTATGTAATCACAATAACCTGCACACAAAATAAACAGACAACCCAATGTCTTGAGGTAAACCTCAAGAACTTCAGGAAGTGTCTTAGAAGTCCAATACTCCATAATGCCAAGGATAGTAACCAAATAGTCCGAGTATCATTAAATATTTTTATGGTTCATGTTGATTATTAAGTGTCTTAGAAGAGAAAAGAAAAGCTCAAGTGAAAAAAATAAAAATGACATGAAATGTAATGCTTAAAGTAAATGGTACATAAAGCATAAAAAATAAAAGGGCATTGTGATCGGTGGATCTGGAACTGACTGTTTAACGCTGGTTTGCGAAATGTCGCGGAAGCAAGAGTCGCCACCGTCTTTTATTTTCTCCAAATGGAAAGGACAAAAGCACAGAAAAATTCCTTATAGAGATTGCTCTCGGTTCGGGAGGTAGATTATAGAAAGGGAAGGTGTTAGCACCCTTTCTATCCATGGTTATCCATGGGCTCTTAGATACTTGCTCATTTGTGTTTTCAAAAAATGGTTTGTTTGCTTTTCAACTGTGGGTTTTAAAAAAGTTTCTTTGAAAATTTCAGTTCGACTCTTGTATCGGTCCTCAAGAGTGTTTGAAAAAATGCTTTCGAAAGCTTTTTGAAAATGTGTTGGTGTGAAAAGTATTTTTGATTTGTTTTTGAAATTAGAGCAAGTATCTAGAGTCGTCTACCTACCCTAAGGAATTCGTCTGTGTAAATGTCCTTAAAGTAGTGCCATCCCACCATTGAGAGGTAGGTAGCACCACCGTTGGAGGTGTTCGGGTCAATTCG